CCTACCTTCTGTTTGAGGCTTCGAGTATAGTGTTTTCTTTATTATGAGTTTTTGTGTTAGTTTTCCTCTCTAAGATGTTGAAGATTGTTGTTAGCAGAATAGTGATGAAGAGTTTGACATAAAGAAAGTGGAGGAACAAGCAGCCAAGTTGGAGAAGGATTTGATAGTGAAAGAACTCGAAACACTCGATGTGCTTGAAGAACTGGCAGCTACCAAAAGGATTGTGGAGGGGTTAAAGCAGCAGCTACAAACTGAAGCATTGAAATGTTCTGCAACTCCCAATGAACATATTGGAACCCCTGTTGTTATTAAGGAGATGAATCAAGAAAATTGTGGAATTGTTGCTGGCAATCAAGAACAAAGATTGCAGAATCCAATCCCTGGCTCTGTCTCTGCTACATCATCTGATCAATTCTTCATGGAGTTGGAACAGGCTAAGATGAACCTTGGCAAAACCATCAATGATCTTGGGGTGATTCAATCTTCTGTTGAATCTCTGAATAAGAAGATGAAGAAGGAGAGGCTTTTTCTTGAGAGGACACGTGAGAAGCTAGCATCAAAGGTTGCAGCTGTCTCTGCGCAAACAAGGGCACAAGAAGAAGCAAGATCGAATCCATCATCAGTTCCTGCTCAAACAGGTTTCACTTTGGATAATCCTGGGAATATTTTGGGGAGTTTCAAACCTGATGCTGATCAATGCAATAGAATGGTTGAAACACTAAGATCTGAAGTTTCAAAGCCATTATCGTACGAAGAGAACATACTTAGTATTAAGACTGCTGAGATGAGGTGGTTTGCAGCTAAAAAGATGGAAGAAGCTGCGAGGGCAGCTGAAGCTATTGCTCTTGCCGAAATCAAGGCTCTATCTGGTGCTGATATGCCATCTGGACTGGTTCTACCAGAACGTCGGAGAGTGACTTTTGCATTAGGAGAGCACACTCCTCTAAATCCTGAAGTTCAAATACCAGAAGAGTCTACCTTGAAGAAGATAGTGGATTCAAGGTTTCAAATCGATGAGATAAATGCTTCCAAATTGAATATTTTGAAGAAGTTGGAGGAAGCAACTGAAGAAGTTCTGCTCAGCAAACAACGCCTGACTGAGGCTTTAAACAGTGTCGAAACTGCAAACAGAAAGCAACACGCTGCGAATGAGGCTCTTCGGAAATGGATTCCTCAGGATGATATGAAGGGACAATCAATGTATAGACCTATCAATCACAACTTCAATCACATAGGGTGCTGTCAGGATTCTTCTCTGCCAGATATAACAAGGTCAACACCCGCGAACAATGACCGAAAACGTGCCCTGAAGTCCACAGTTTCAATGCGAGATGTGCTCAGCAGAAAGCAAGTTCCTGAAGAGTACAATACTACAAAGGAGATGGAAGAGCATGCTGCAAGACAGAAGGTAGCGTTGAGTCAAATGCTCCAAGCATTGAGGGAAGATCTTACTCTTCCTTCAAATCCTGAATCAGATAGGAATCATCAAAAGCATTTCATGGCTCAGAGGAAAAAGTTTGGATTCATCCAAATATCATTGGGAAGGCCTAGTAAGAAAAGGACATAAATCTTATCCTAATTCATTTGCATGGGGATATAATATGCAAAACTCTTGCATTAATATATTGGGTTTCTTGTCATTTCTTCATTGATTTTTGTTATGATGATTGCTTTCTTGTTAGCCAAGTGAAAGTTTGTGTTAAGTGTCTGATTTTGTAAAATATGTTTTGTTCTTGTTTATTGCTAAAGTTGATTCCTCCATTTGTATATTTTAGTTTGGGACATGGGCCTTGTAGTGTTTCTTGATGTTATTATTACTTGACAATAATTACATATGGATTTTTTTTTTTTAAATGTAGTTTGATTTTGTTCTGATGCAATTCAAATATTAATTGTGTTTCTATGCTTCATTCAAACCAGCACAATGTCATATACATAGTATTTTTTCTTTCTCTCTTTTTTTTGACCATGTCATATCCGTAGTTGTCAACTCTTGAATCCTTTTCTGAATCTTTTGACCAATTTGCATCGAAAGAATCGAGTATTGCTTTGAATCTAGGATACAATACTATGTTCATGAAAACCATAAAGAACAAAGGTAGATGCCCTAAGCATACAAATATCACTAAACAATTTTGCAAAAATCATCATAAAATCAAGCCACTAGCACTATGCTACCATACTAACATGTGGTGCCGTTCTCATCCCTAAAAGATATTGCATTATTCAAATTGGTCTTCCAAAAAATTTTATTTAGTCATATTAGCATTTAAAAATACATCGTCAGTCAAATTAGTTTTTCTGTAAATTAGATTTTCTTAAATCATTTTATTACACTCAACCTCAAGGAGGTTAGTCAACAAAAAAAAAAAAAAAAAAAAAAAATCAAGGAGG